ACAGAGTGAAGGCACACAATTTTAAAAAATGAGGTAAAGGTTGGTGATGGCTTGCAAATCTAAATTGTTTAGATGGAAGAACATTACACAGCAACATTGGTAGATTAGTTGAGTGACCAAGATGCTACTAAATAGTATTCTGGCCCAAAATAAGGTATAGAGCTGGATGAACACAGCAGGCCAAGCAGCATCAGAGGAGCAGGAAAGCTGACGTTTTGGGTCTAGACCCTTCTTCGGAAATAGGGGAGGGGAAGGGGATTCTGAAATAAATAGAGTGAGGGGGGAGGCGAATGGAAGCTGGAAAAAGGAGCAGATAGGTGGAGAGGAAATGGACAGGTCAAGGAGGCGGGAACAGAGCCAGTAAAGGTGAGTGTAGGTGGGGAGTTAGGATGGGGGTTGGTCACTCAAGGGAAGATGGACAGGTCAAGGAGGCGGGGATGAGGCTGGTAGGTAGGAAATGGGGGTGGGGGTGAGGCTTGAGGTGAGAGGATCGGATAGGTGTTAGTAAAGACGGATAGGTCAAGGAGGCGGGGACGAGCTGGGCTAGTTTTGGGATGAGGTCAGGCGTGGGGAGATTTTGAAGCTTGTGAAGTCCACATTGATACCATTGGGCTGCAGGGTTCCCAAGCGGAATATGAGGGGCTGTTCCTGCAACCTTCGGGTGGCATCGTTGTGGTACTGGAGGAGGCCCAGGATGGACATGTCGTCCAAGGAGTGGGAGGGCGAGTTGTAGGTTCGCAAGTGGGAGGTGCAGTCATTTGTCGCGAACCAAGCATAGGTGTTCCACAAAGCGGTCTCCAGGCCTCCGCTTGGTTTCCCCAATGTAGAGGATGCCACATCGGGAACAGTGGATACAGTATACCGCATTAGCAGATGTGCAGGTGAACATCTGTTTAACGTGGAAGGTTTTCTTGGGGCCTGGGATGGGGGTGAGGGGGAGGTGTAGCACTTCCTGCGGTTGCACGGAAAAGTGCCAGGGGTGGTGGGGCTAGTGGGGAGTGTGGAACGGACAAGGGAGTCATGGAGAGAGCGGTCCCTCTGGAAGGCAGATAAGGGTGGGGAGGAAAAATGTCCTTGGTAGTGGGATCATATTGCAGGTGGCAAGAAGTGGCAGAGGATGATGCGTTGGACCCGAAGACTGGTGGGGTGGTACATGAGGACGAGGGGGATTCTGTTTTTGTTGTTATTGTGGGGATGGGGTGCGAGGGATGAGTTGCGGGAAACACGAGAGATGAGGTTGAGGGTGTTTTCGACTTCTGTGGAGGGGAAGTTGCAGTCCTTGAAAAACATGGACATCTGAGATGTCCGGGAGTGGAACGCCTCATCTCGGGAGCAGATGCGGCAGAGACGAAGGAATTGGGAATAGGGGATGGCATTCTTGCAGGAAGGTGAGTGAGAGGAGGTGTATTCTAGGTAGCTATGGGAGTCGGTAGGCTTGAAATAGATATCGGTTTCCAGGTGGTTGCCAGAGATGGAAATAGAGAGGTCAAGGAAGGAGAGAGAGGTATCGGAGATAGTCCAGGTGAACTTAAGGTTGGGGTGGAAGGTGTTAGTAAAGTGGATGAACTGTTCGAGCTCCTCGTGGAAGCACGAGGCGGCGCCAAAGCAGTCATCGATGTAACGGAGGAAGAGGTGGGGGATAGTGCCAGTGTAGCTGCGGAAGAGGGACTGTTCCACATATCCTACAAAGAGGCAGGCACAGCCTGGGACTGTGCGGGTACCCATGGCCACCCACTTTGTCTGTAGGAAGTGGACCAACCCCCATCCTAACTCCCCACCTACACTCACCTTTACTGGCTCCATCCCCGCCTCCTTGATCTGTCCGTCTCCTCTCCACCTATCTGCTCCTTTTTCCACCTTCCATCCGCCTCGCCCCACGCCCCATTTATTTCAGAATGTCTTACCCCTCCCCCATTTCTGAAGAAGGGTCCAGACCTGAAACGTCAGCTTTCCTGCTCCTCTGATGCTGCTTGGCCTGCTGTGTTCATCCAGCTCTACACCTCATTATCTCAGATTCCCCAGCATCGGCAGTTCCTACTATGTCAGGACACTGAGATTTGAACACTGGATATCGCTCAGAAAAAAAATGAGCTGAAAAGCAACCTTGCAACTGAGAAGCACAGATACAGAAATTTGCAACAAGAAAACTAATTAGGGCAAAATTAATGTACTTGTGGAGGATGGAGAGTTGACACCGTATTTGAGTTTGCAAGAGAAAGTAAGATTTGCATTTATATGACACTTTTCACAACCTCAGGATGTCTCAAAGCACTTCACACCAATTAAATACTTTAGATTGTAATTGTGAATGTAGAATACGATGCTCTGCAGCCAATTTGTGCACAATTGGTCACAGAAACAGCAATGAAATAATGACCAGATAATCTGTAATATAAGTGTTAACGCTAGAATAAATATTGACAAAAACCAGCAATAATTTCCTGCACCTCATCAAAATAGTGCCATGGGATCTTTTATGCTCATGCATGGGGCAGACAAGGGTCTTTGCTCTAAGATCACATGTGAAAGGCAGCATCCCTGACAATAAATTCTCTCAGTATTGCCTCAAAGCTCTGGAGTGTCAGCCTCACATTTTGTCCTCAAGTCATTGGAACAGGGCTTAAATCTACAACTTTTTGCCTCAAGAGATGAGTGTGCTACCAGAGAAGAAAACTTAACAAGACAAAGATAATCAAAACTCCGAGAGAAACAAATTTGAAAACAGTAAAAAACGTTGTATAGTAAATAACTTATTGCTTAGACAGGGCATGATTTCTAATATTTCCTTGATGACTTTCCTGTATACAAAAACTTTGCAGCGATTAAAAAAAAGCTTAATTGCTTCCGTACTTATTTTGGCACTTTGCAATTTGTGTTTGTATTTGAAGGGAAAATGGTTAATGGCAAACATCTGGTCTTAATGTGAGAACATTGTTATGCTTGTATCAGGCATTATTCTAATGTAATTGATTTTTCATGTAATATTTATAATTTAAGTATAGATTTGAATGAAGGCTTTTGTTATCAAGGATATATATTAACACAGGACTTTGTGAAATATATGTTAATCAAATCATTGTCTATTAATTTGCACTTTTTGCTATCTTTGGTAGCAGTATAGAAGTTTCTGACAATGTTTCCAATCAAAATTACAAATTCATATATTTTAGAAGCAGTTGTGCATTTGTCTTTTATCGACTAGAGATCATTTTGATTTTCACTCACAATGAGAAAGTGAAAAAGATAGTATCAGCTGCCTGTTATAAATTTCAACTGACTTTTATGGAAATATAAATCAGGAAAGATGTATAACACATGGATGAATCATCGTTCAAAAGTCCCCTCCAAAACAATAGCATCCTGTCTCAGAACTATGTTGTCATTGCCTCAGTGTCACTTGGTCAATATCCTGGAATTCCCTTCCTAACAGCACTCTGTGTACATCCACACCACATGCACTGTAGCAGTTCGAAAAGGTGGTTCATCATCAAATAGATGAAAGAAATGATTGGCAAATAAGTTTTGGCCTTGCTAGCAAGCCTCACATCCTATGAGCAAATAATAAAAACTAATACCCGAGGCATATGTTAAAGCTCGTTGGCTAACTTTCTATGTCTGCACTTTGCTGCCAATATTTTACCATTCAGCTTAAATGAAATTTGCACTTTATTCAGATTTGGTTTCAACAATTGAGAAATTAAGCAGCTTTCTTTTACTATTTATCTGTGACTTGAATAATTCAACAGAGACTTAACGTGCTTTGACTACTAGAAACATTGCTGAAAGTTGCAAATGGGCAGCTATTATTGCTAGTGTAAATCTGAACTTGGTACAATTTTCTGACTGACTAGTATGCCTGCTGCAGAATTATTTTTATATCAAAAAACATAAAACAAAAATGTCTGCCATCAGACTTCTAACTATGGAATGGGAAATGTAAATTTGGAGCACTGAAAATATTAGGAAGTCTGCATTTGTAACCAGATTGGGTATTTTAGTGCACGCCTTGGGCTGGTAATTTAATACTGGTGAACACATGAACTGAATGAGGCAGCTGTAGATATAATCCTCTGACATCCTATTCAATCCAGATCATCCTTAGTTAAGCTAAAAGCAATCTCAGAATCTACGACATAAATGTACCATAACTGCCATTCTATTAAATTCTACCTATATATTAAGAAAAGACATTTATTTCAGATGAAGGGTTTTGCTTTTCCCTGCCTTATGAAATACATCAAGACTCAACCCACAAAGTATGTTTATTATTGGGGCTTAAAGTTACAATTTTACACATCTGATTCAAATCAATTTTATCTACAAATGGATTTAATCAACAACTACATTGGAACCTTTGCATCATACAAACATCAGAGTTAGAGTACCTTCACATTTTAATGTACAACTGTTTGGCTATAACATAAAGTCATCAAAACTATGCATGTTTTATTACTCTGTTACTTAAAGTTGAACATTGATGTGAATGCATATACATAACAAACACTCTAAACAGTAATGCTATTCAGGTCTTTATGACCCATAGTTGAACTATTGATCTGACGTTGTGAGAGTGATTGATAGCATTTGAAAATGTTACCCTGGCTACAGTACAACTGCAGGAAGCCAGCGTGGAAATATTTCAAACTGTAAAGATTAAAGTTTCAACCACCCTTATGTTATTTTATCATATTCTTACTTCAATATAAATAACTGGGTATCTTGTCTTCTGTTCTCAATCTGCAGTTTGATCAATAATTGAAGATTTGAAAGTTACAATTCAGCATGTGTACTCAAGTATGCATGTGCCTTGCTCCCTATTCAATATCAAATTTACATTTCCATAAGTAATGCTATTATCAAGTTGAAGAACCCTAACGATATTAAGTTAATACTTACATGATAACCTGAAAACTTTGTTCTTTAGTACAGTAATTGAATATATTCTGCTACTATTCAAATTTCTCACTTTGAAAACCCACCAGTACATATTTAATCCTTACCTTTCTGACTCCCAGATTTACACGATGGGAGGTTGTGCTTGTTCAAACTGTTAATACTTTGACTTTGTCTGCTCATAGTTGCAAGAGCCTTCGTATTACTGCTGGTTGCTGTTGCTGCCCTTGCAGTGGGGCCAGGAATCCTAAAGGGAAAAACATAGTGTCTTGACTGTAAATGTGAAGCAGATTCACAAGAGAATAAAGTCTTGCAAAAGAGCAATGAGACTATCTGGGTTTAACCACAAATGGAAACAGTACTGGAATCTGAAGGGAGGGGAAAAAAATGTTCAATTATGCTGATCCACATACTGAGACTAAAGTAAAGAAATTACCTCATCACTCTTCAGAGAGAAAAATGATATGTCTGCAGCATTATAGAACTGTTTTATTTTAGATTAAAAGTTACAGTTCATGACCATTCGTTCAGCTGCTAGCTTAATAATAAATATTAAGGTGGGTTTGTATCGGCTGGAGATTAATATTAACCACACACCATCCATTACTGAATAACAAAGCCAGGACATTGCTGAACACAGTATCTTAATCACATGATTGGACAGTATCTAGAACTAATCAATGGAAATAATGGCACAAGGACTGATATTTGTACTCAGAACCAACAATTTCTCTTCTGGTTGCTTCACCAAAAAATTTAGAAAAGATTGCCTTTTGAATCACTTTTGAGCAAAGCATATTGCACATAAGTAATTAAGCAATCAAAATTAAAATTACACTGAAGAATATTGTTTCATTTTCTTCTAATTAGTTGAGCTCCTGCATCAAAAATATGATGTATTTTATAGGAAAAAAAACTTATGCACTTTTAATTATTGTTCAATATCAGTTATTTTTGATTTCCTCATATCGCTAAGACCCATCTTACATACTCTCATTTTTTCAAGCTGGTTGAGACACCTAGAGAGACTGGTTAGGCAGATTTCTGCTGATATTTTCCAATAGCCAGATATTCATTTCTGAAGCATAGAGTGGAGTTGTGCGTAGGAACCCTGCAAGATCCACATTGTGGCAGACCCTGAGGGAACTGCCTGTGATTTGAATTGAAGGTTTTGCTGAGCAATTACCCTACCACCTGGAATCCCCCGAACATATCCATTCAAATTAGAGAATTCAGAGGATTCTGCTTCAGTTAAGTAAGTAGTTGTTCAGGAAAATGGCGGTCTATGAAGCTGGACATTTAAACTCCAGAACACAATGTTAATTAAAAGATTGTTTGCTGTACCTCAACTGTTCTATGCTATGATAGGCCTGTCAGAATGGATGGCTTTGTATTTTCAAAGGACCTCTGATCAGAATTCCTGTCAAAAATGAAGAGTTCTTACATTTTTCAGAAGGGAGTAGAATGGCAATCAGTGTGGGATTGCCACTCTTCAGAAAATCTATATACTTTTCTTGTCAGAATTGTTTTCCAACTCTTACATCACAAAACTACAACACACTGATCACTTGACCTGTACAATTATCCCCTAATTAACATGTAAAAATCACCAGTCTCTTAGTTCCATGTATCCCTGGCAGATCCTACTGGAAGATAACACGTCCCCCTTTTCTATTTTCAAAACAAGTAACTTATACACAATAATGTTGAAAAATTAACAAAACAAAAAATAAAAAATGATAACATTTTGTGCAAAGTGACAATATTTTAAATTCCAACTTATTTTTGTCCATATTAGGGTTCCAACTATCCTTTTTTCCAGTATTTGAAATTGTTTCTCAGAGCTTGCTCCTTTCTTTATAAAGCTATCAGATAGCTGACTGCTACTATCCATGCATTTCAATTTTGAAATTTCACCATTCTCTGACAAATGTTTTAAAACTGCAATATTAGTACTCGGTGCTTTTTTAATTCATACATTTTATTGGTAGCATGATATCCCATAGTGACATATTATTAACGTAGCACACAAAGGATATTTCTACTGAAACTTTTTTCGAAATTACTTCCAACATTCTACTGAGGAAAATTACACATCTACTGCCTCAATAAGAGCAGGAATTTCCGTTGCCGAGAAACTTCTTAATTATTCATCTGGTCTTCTAGCTCCCCAAGCTGAAGGGCAACATTTACCTCGTTGCTCCAAAAAAAATACCCTCCTGCACTTGAAAATCTAACATCAATGTTCACATAAGAAACATCACTAAAAATGTTTAGCACAGTTGCCTGGACAACTGGTTTGTGATGCAAAGTGATGCCAACAGCATGGGTTTAATATACGTACCACCTAAAGTTACCACAAAGGACTCTCCTTCTTACGCCCTGCCCTCGCCTGAGGTGTGGTGACCCTCAGGTTAAACCACCACTGGTCGTCTCTCTCTCTCTGTCTGATGAGATAGCAGCCCTATGGCTATTGCACTTTACCTTTTTTTCCTGGACCCTTTACTAAGTCTTTTTAAACATCTGGAAGACAGACCGGCAAATTGCCTCAGATTTAACACGATTAACTTTCATTTTCTAAATTTCTGCCGAATGATGTCAATAATATTTCTTCAGTTTCACTAGTGTATAGTTTATGTTCCATTAAAGTGGTACAATGGAGTTACTATTATGTAAATTGTAAATTCACAGATTTTTCAAATACAATAGCTTTATTGTTTTCCATATTTACTTTCATCTCTGCCATTTCCTTCAATGGCCTACTTAACAACAACGGTATTTCACTAAATGCTAAACTCGTGCCAATAAAATGATTAATTCAGATATTCTACAAGCAATAACTACTCTTTTGAAACATTTTAGTGCCTTATCATCCCCAAATCTGAAAGTAGGAGAACTTTCAAATTCCTTAACTTTGTTCTGAATCCGATTGCTCAGAGTCTAGGTAGCATTTCAGCCAGTTTATTTCACACTCTGTAGATAGCATCAGCTGTCCAGTACTGCACAACTGAAAGACTCTGCCTTGAACATATTCATCACTGGGCTGAAATTTCTTGAGGCCAATACAATTGTCATTTCTTTGATTCATACTTCCATCTTCTTCTTCTGAATCTTCCAAATTATGTTTAATTTTCAACACTGTATTTACCACTTAGGATAGTTCAAAGCAAAGTGGCACTTTGAATTGTACCTGAAGTTTTGGTTGACTACATTCTGAGCATTTCTAGCATTCATTTCTTTATAGTAAGACTCCACTTCTCTTCACTTTTCAAACTTATCAAATGCATATCTATCCTAATTCTTCTTCATTAAAATTATTCTATTGTACAATTTCCTGCATCCTGTTTCTCGATGTTCTTGCTAGCTCGTTATGCCTTCCACTTTCTGCCACAGCGCCAATTGTCCTGTCTGTGCCATGAAGCCTACTGTAAAGGAACGCTACCCAAGGAATTTTGTTTAGAACTTCTGACATTTGTACTGGCAGTCAATGCTTACCTGAAAAGTTAACTGCAAATCCAAGATGGCGACAGGTGAGTAGCAGCGCTGTGTCCAAGCTTCTGGTTTGGGGCTCGTCTGCTTCCATCTGATTTCTACGTTACCTTTTTTTTTGCTTTTTGCTTTTGCTTTTTCTTTCTCCTTTCTTTTTCTTCTTTGGGGGCCTCTTCGGCAGAGTGAGAGCGGGCCTGGCCTCTCAAACAGCTGCAGCAGGAGTCAGCTCCTCGGGGAGAAGGAGCCAAAGATGGAGGAGAGCAAGCCTGAAGGGAGCTTGTGACGGCAGCGATCGGGAGTCCAGTGGTGAGAGATGGCGTCTGAGTGTGGTGGCGCAGGACTCAAGGCAGCGGCGGCAGCATTGGCTTTCAAAATGGTGGCGACAGCAGGGTGGCCTCTGCGGTCATTGTCAGTCAGATGTGGCAATGCGGTAGACGCAAATCGATACTCTTGGTTGATCGCAAAGAGCAGTGGTCGCTTCAGCTGTGGCATGGTAGGCCCGGTGTGGGGTCTCCTGGAATGGACTTGTAGGAAGGACGGTCCCTGCATGGCTGAGCACTTAAGAAAGACTATAATGTTTGATCTTTTATCTTTATTTCTTCATTTTTTACACTATACTAAGAATAACTGTCATGCTTGACTTTTAGTATTGTCCTTTCTTTCTTTCTACCTCATTATTAAGATTTTGTACCTAGGTGCTTGTACCCAAGATGACACTATGTCTGGCGACATTGTACACTTTTCACTGTACTCCTGTACTTTTATACTTGAGTACACCTGACAATAAAGTCTAAATCTAAATCTTACTCCCGTCAAAACTCAAAGTCGGTCTAAACTGATAATTCGGCATACCTGAAAACTTAAATGCCAGCATAGATTGGAGAATTTCTGAATGCAATTTCTGAAGTCTTGAATCTGCTGAATTCCATTACATTCCCTTCTACAGGAATATCTTCAGTCTTTCTAAATTTGTCAAAAGCTGTCTATATCTCATAAGCAGTTAATAAATCATTTTTAAATGAATTTTATCCATGGATGTTAATAATTCGTACAAACTTCATCTGTATCAAAACCACAAGTCTGCAATTTCAGGAAAAAAAAATGCTTCTTATCCTGTTTTTGTATGGCAGAAGAGCCAAAGTGATACCTTATTTCTTCTTCAGTAAAGAAGCAATGAGGGTCCACACAGTTACTTCATTGGTCATAAGGTTCCTATTCAGAAAACAGGGGTGAGTAATCATAGTATGAAGTAAGTTACTTTGGATTTTATTTCAGCTATCTCTCTGAAGTTTTCTCCAAATTGTTCCTATTATAATAATCTTAGTTCTCAAATCATTGATGTTTGAACAGCTAGCCATCCACTGCTACTACTGTTAAACACCAGAGGTTAAAGGTTAGTTTGACAGATTTTCAAGTACATAGTTTTCTGCAAACTCACATATCACAACACTCCAATACATTCCTGCCAGACCTTACTAGATAAGATGATACATGATAAGATGAAAATACATACTGGTATCTTACAAACATATTTAAATAAATACAGTAAAATTTTGCATTAAAAAGTACTTTCCTCTGCTGTATAGTGCCTTTCATCTTTTCAAATCAGTCTCCCAGAGTGTACCCATGTTAGAGGTCCCAAGTTTTAAATCTAGCTATTTCAACAGTGACTTTCAAATGCACAAACACATCAATACTAGCATTGTGAAGCTATTTATAATTGCACTAAAGGAAGTGGGTTTTTTTTCTGTCTAGGAT